ATGCTAAGAATTCAAAAGAGATGATTTTGCACCTGTTATCTATATTTTAAAATCGTTTTTTGAGTATGTTCCACTATTCACAATTCTACAAAATTTCAACAGTCTATAGCCAAGACTTTTTGGATAATAAAAAGCAAAAAAAAAATATTCACTCCCAAGTGGCCACGAACCTGCATCTCTACCTTAAATACGTGGTTGTGAAATAAATGCATTACATAATCAATTTCAACGCAGCACTAAATTTCTTTTGAATCCACAAAGAATGGAGATAAAGTACATGTAGTATAGAAGAGAAAACAGGTTGATTTAGGGGAGGGTTTTGAAAAGAGTGTATCATAGAGGAGTTATTGGTGGGGGTGTTATTGCAGGCATATTATATAAGTGCTAGTGTGGGGAATACTATAAGAGGGAGTATTTTAGAAAGACGTGTTAGTATTATGGGATGAATTATTATATGTGTCAGTGTAACCTTAAAGTGCGAGAATTACCAAGCCACCATTTTTTTTGTTATTCACAACAAGCTTAAAGCAGGGGAGTCGTCACCTGCGCATGCGTCAGATGGCCATAGCGTGTCATTGTTTACAAACAAGCGTCTACCCATGCGCCTTTGCGTTTTTAGCGTGTGTTGTTACCGTCGCTTATGACTCAATTCCCGCGCGTGCGCAGGTAACGACCCTCCCGCTTTAAGTGACTTTACCAGTGTAATTTAGGAGGATTCTGTATTTATATTAGCATTGTTTTGAATATACTTGTCTTCATTTTTCATTAGGGTTTGGATTTTTTTTAGTATCAGTCCGTAATGTACATTTCAGTCTGCAATTATTATTGTAATATTCAGCGAGCTCAGATATTTCTTAAATTAAGTTTTTTGTCATATCAAATTTATTACTCAGCCTGGAGTAACAAATTATTGTATTCGATTTGTAGACAATTGAATGGCACTTGTACACTATTTTGTGGTAGATACTAATACCAGTATGTTGCAATTATTTGATCCTCTGCACTGGCGGATCCAGAAATTCGATAAGGAGGCGAGCTCCGTGACGTGGCCGAAGTAGACCTCCGATGGGCTAGGTTTGTCAATTGATTTGTCAATTATTTTGCGGGCTGAAGGGAGGGGCCGTCTGGCGCGCCTCTCTCTAAATCCGCGCGTGCTCTGTAAGTTGAAATAATACTATCCAAACACGTCGGGCATTCTTGGAGCATGATATAATAGTAATTAATGTTATGAGTAATTATTTTTGAATCTTCAAACTTGTGGTAAGATTAAGTATTTGTCCAATCGGTGATCTCGATATTGTAGTTATGTGATTAAACTTAAGTTTTTACACCAAATGTTCATTTCCGGGTTATTTTTGCGGAAATGTTAAATGTTTAACACAATTCCATTCAAAAAAAAAAAAAAATTTGCACCGGTTCCCATGGTCCCAATGTCCACGAACAATCAATAGGGTTCAAATGGACTTGGACCTTAACTAAACCTGC